TCTTTGACAGTTACAAGGGTGGGGAGGGAGGGGGAGGGGTATTCACTAACTAGATAGTAGACAAGAATTATCTTAGGTGAAAGGAAGGAAAGCACACACTACAGGGGAAGTCAGCACAACTGGACTAAGCCAAAGCTAGAAGTTTCCTAAATACAACCAAACACTTCAAAGGACAGAGTAGCAGGGGCAGGGGTCTGGGGATCATGCTTTCAGGGGACATCTAGGTCAACTGGCATAACAAAGTTTATTAAGAAACTGTTCTGATTCCACTTTGGTGAGTAGCATCTGGGGGGTCTTAAAAGCTAGTGAGTGGCCATCTAAGATGCATCATTTGGTCCCAACCACCTGCAGTAAAGGAGAATGAAGAACACCACAGACACAAGTATTATTAGCCCAAGAGACAGAAAGGGCCACATAAACCAGAGACTTTCATCAGCCTGAGACCAGAAGAACTAGATGGTGCCTGATTACCACCAATGACTGCCCTGACAGGGAACACAACAGAGTCCCTGACGGAGCAGCAGCAAAGTGAGGTGCAAAAATTCTAATAAAAAGACCAGACTTAACGGTTAGACTGAGACTGGAGGGACTCTGGAAGAAATGGACCCTGGACTGTTAGCCCGAAACCAGAACTATTCCCGAGGTCAACTCTTCAAAGATTAGGTCAACTCTTCAAAGATTAGACTGGACTGTGGGGCATAAAATGATACTCGTGATGAGTGTGTTTCTTAGCTCAAGTAGATTCATGAGACTAAATGGGCAGCTCCTGTCCAGAGGCGAGATGAGAAGGCAGAGGGTCAGGAGCTGGGTGAATGGACACCGGAAATCTGGGGTGGAAAGGAAGAGTATGCTGTCACAGTATAGGGAGAGCAACTAGGATCACGTAGCAATGTATGTATAAATTTTTGTATGAGAGTAACTTGAATTGGAAACTTTTCACTTAAAGAACAATTAAAAAAAAAAAAGGGACCAGACTTACCAGTCTGACAGAGACTGGAGAAATCCCGAAGAGTATGGTCCCCGGACACCCTTTTAACTCAGTACTGAGGTCACTCCTGAGGTTCACCCTTCAGCCAAAGATTAGACAGGCCCATAAAACAAACAATAACACATGTAGCTCAACCATGTGTATGAGACTAAATGGGCATACTACCCCAGGGGCAAGGATGAGAAGGCAGGAGGGGATAGGAAAGCTGGATGAATACAAATAGCGAACCCACAGTCAAGAAGGGGAGTTAGACAAGTCGTGGGGTTGGCAACCAGTGTCACAAAATGTGTGTTTTAATTGTTTAATGAAGAAACTAATTTGCTCTGTAAACGTCCATCTAAAGCACAATAAAAAATTAAAAAAAAAAAACCTTCCCTTCATTAACTATCAGGTTACAGTAGAAATGGAGACTAGAGGAATGGACATCACTATGAAGAAATCTTGAGACAGATAATTTTTTTTTACTGATTTCATTAGGAAAGAAATAGCATGAAAAAATAAAAAGGTATGTACAGTGATTGACTTGAGATACATTAGCCATGTGTGGGCCTTGACTGGGTCCTGATTCAAACAAACCAACTATAAAACGACTTTTTTTGACAATCAGGAATTTAAATATAGACTATCAGATGATCAGGAATTACTTTGTTAGACAATAATGGCATTATAACTATGTAAAACAAACCCTTGTTAAGAGATATATACAGAAATAGTACAGGTAAAATGACATGTTATCTGGCATTTGTATTAAAATATAACAGGGAAATAAGTTGGGGAACAGATAAAACAAAATCTCCAAAATAATTTTAATTTTTGAAGCTGGGCTATACGTACAGAGGCTCATGATTCTATCTGACTTTTTTATTATGTCTTACAAGGTTCGTAAGTTAAAAAAGTAATCACTAATATAAATCTGTTGCTGTCAAGTTGATTCCAGCTCATGTAGAACTAGTCAACGCCCCCAAATGACTTACGTGTATTCACATTAGGAAGACTGCCTCTAACTGCTAGAGCATTTGTAAAACTAACCTAATCTGACTTTTGAACTTTACATCCTTCTCTACCTAAAAAGGAGCTTTGGTAGTGCAGTGGTTAAGCATTTGGCTGCTAACCAAAAGGTCAGCAGTTCAAATCCACCAGCCACTCCTTGGAAACTCTATGGGGCAGTTCCACTCTGTCTTATAGGGTCGCTCTGAGTCGGAAATGACTCGAAAGCAATGAGTTTCATTTTGGTTTTCTACCTAAAAAAGAACAAGCAAAACCAACCAACCAACCAACCAATAAAATAAACTATATTAAGATCTTTAAGTCCACAATTGTTGACTATCAGTGATTTACAATGATTTCATTCTGACCATAAGCAGTTAAGCAGTACTGAATGTTTAAAATATTTCACTTCTATCAAATTTCGTAGGAATCAGAATTTTCAAACTGGAAAGGAGTTAAAAACTCAGGCTGCCTAATAGACAAAGCATTTCTTCATCCCAGGATGTCCAGATAAGTCTTAAATATTGGTTTCTGCCTACCTACTTAAAACAGAATAACATGATTTCAAATGGCCATACCATATTAACTATTTTAATGGTTGAAGCTACATATCAGTACTGTAGCAAATAAAAACATGAATGAAATCCAATAAGATTTTGTATTAACCATTACTTTCCATCTCATTTCAAGTTTTTTCACAGTAGAGCCATGAAAGACAGTTTGAATTCTCAATCAACACAGTGTATTATCACAGAAGAATGCTATCTAGAATCCAGGAAACCTGAGCTTCTCAAATCACAATTCAGCCACAATTATTGGGATAATCAGGCAAATCATTTCCAAATTCTCTGACATCTAGCACTTTAAGATTATTCAGTTTTTTTTAATTTAATGAACTATAAAAACTTCACATGGTAGTTTCTCTGCTACTGTCAACTTACTAATAACCCACTGTCGTCGAGTCAATTATGACTCATAGAAACTCTATAGGACAGAGTAGAACTTGCCCCATAGGGTTTCCAAGGAGTGGCTGATAGATTCAAATTGCCAACCTTTTGGTTAGTAGCTGAGCTCTTAACCACTGAGCCACCAGGGATACCAGAGCAGACATCAATTTTATTCATCTACTCTGAAAGTCTTGATGAATGAATGCATGGATGCATGAGAATACGTCCAGAAAACAAACAGTATCAGAAAACACTGGAAATAACCAATTTAGCTACACTTTGAAAAATGCCTCATAAAGAAAACCAACCTTAAACTTGAATCAAATTGCTAGAAATAATACACTGAGGCATCACAGTATTAATAAAAATAAATACCTAAATTACAAATAACTCATATTTTACACATTAGCCATTTGGAACTTTTCCCTTTTAGTACTGAAGCTTCCAACACTGTCAAAACACCTGGGGCGTCTAAAAAGTGAGTTCAGAAGTAGAAGAAAAAAGGCAATTAAGAGGAAGCACAGGAGAGATCAAAGAGGGAAGGGAAGGTTGACAACAGATACTCATATAATGAGCCCAGACTGATAAACACCCTGTTAAACATTTCTCCACCTGATTTTTTAAAGTTTCATTTTCATTCCTAAAATTCCATGAATTAGGCCTATGAACTACCAAGTACCTTTTGTGAAGAACATACTTTTCAGAAGGGAAGAGGGTTAGCAATCGTTTCTTAGTAAGAAATGAGTTTCCCTTCCTCTTATATCCTGAGATCAGTTATTCTGAGGGAATGAGTCTTTGATGCGGGAGAAAGTAAAGGTTAACTTAGGAAAGTGAAACACTTGTTGGGGAAAGGATAGGAGGCGGCTTAGGTAGTAGTGGCACTTGAAGAAATCCAAGTGGGAAATAAAGGATGGCAGATGGATGGCAGATCAATGACCACCAACATGGCTAGGCTTTGGAAGAGGCAACTTTTACATCAAATGCTCCCTACCCCTAAAAATACATTTTCTCTTACGATATATTTAACTATTCTGAAAGTACATTCACTATATGTGGACTGTACCTGAGGCCTAAACATAATTTATGTAGTGATTCTATGATAAAGCTTGTTTCAGGGTTCCCAAATTACTAGTCAACTTTAGGAACATGGCATTCCTATATCAGCCAATGTTCCCCTGGAGGATAACGTAGTGGACCCAGACTGGTTTCACTCACTATTTGTCACACCAGAAAATTCCATGCATTTTATGTCTACAATACATCAACAGATAAAACTCAAATCTCTGGTGTAATGCACTTGTGAAATGGGGACACTTTTAACAAAAAACAACCTATATGAATTCTACAACGAAACAGATTTCTACCTGGCAGACTCAACAATATCAATAGATTTTTTTTTTTAAGGAACAGTTACCATCTAGTTTTTATGTGAAAACAGGTATCGTAAGAACAATACCTATAGTCAAACAGTTAACCAACCAATTAGGTTCTAGAAATTTCTGCAGAGCTTCCTTCCTAAAAAAGTATATTCCAATCAAATCCTTCTTTTTCTCCAGTAAGTATTAACACAAATATAAACTGCTTAGTAATAGCCCTGAATTCTTACAGGCTAAGATGTAAGTATTCACTTGACTTGATAAGGAAACAGATGTTAAGACATTTTTAGGACTCAGCATTAAAAACTAAAACCTCAGTCATTAGAATTACTATTTACATGCTTGCAACTCACCAAACAGCCCTTAGCAAATATGATTCTCCAAGCCCACTTTCCAGTTTGACTTTAAATCTTAAATGAAATGTGTATGTATTTTTACTAAAATCAGGGTGGGAAAACTGGCCATCTTTTTACTAATGCCTCCTTATCATCACTAACATCACCCAATGAGAAGGAATACAATACTTACAATTTAATAAGATTCCCCACAGTAGGCATTTTCCTATGGATTTTGGTTTCCAACACCTGCGTGTGTACCACCTAGAGTTAATAATACTTATTATCTATTCAACAATTACAGGAAAAACTTCTAAAGGTAAAAAGTTCTAAATTTGAGGCATATAAAGAATGTTCATTTAAGAACAAAGTAACCAAGATTTCCTTTACTCAAAAAAAATCACTTTAAAGAGTCAACCTCCACGTACAAAAAGCAAGATCAATTACATTTATCACTGGACACAAAGTATATTCCAAAGGTCTTTAAAAATGATAATTAAGCTCAAAAAGGAATATTAATTCTAACTTTTATATTTCATTCATTACCAAGACCATATTTGCTTAACAAGATAATTATGCTATTGATACAAAACATACAGTATTTACACTTAACTGTACAAAATAATTTAATGTTTACAAAAATATTAGAATGTTTAGTTGACTGACACAGTCTTAAGTAATCTCTTCTAGAGAAGTATATAGTAAGACCACTGATTTCCATTTCATTTCTTTTTTAATAAGTCAAAGAAAGGATGCTGCAATGCTTCATCCAAGGTAATTCTTTTGGCTGGATCATATTCTAACATTCTTCGAACCAGGTCAAATAGTTTCTCATGTTCTTCATCATGACAAAGCATAAATTCCTGAAAGAAAAAAAAATCTTTTTAGAAAGATATTAAACAGTGAAAACTTGAGTTGTTCTGACCTTTAATCTTTTTTCTTTTACCTTTAATGGTTTGCAGCGTCTCCTAACATATCTACCAGCAGAACTATGTTCATCCCAATCCAGCTGGTTATGGTGGAAATACTTGCGTTTCCTACAAGAAAAAGAAGTCTCAATCAGTAAAATAACAAAAGATCCACAACTATACCCTGCCCCCAAATGGAGGTGAGGGGACAGATGAAAGTATAAGAGCATGTTTTTTCTGTCTCCTCCTCCTCCCCAGTCTCTCTACACATACATATGTACATACACATATAAACAATTTTTAAAAAATCTCAGCAACAATTATATATTAAGATACCTCACATACCACTTTACTTAATATCCCACCCTGTGAGATTTTAGTATCCCAATTAAGTTGTTTCCAAATACTAATCATGCAACAATGCCAGCTTCAAAAACAGAAAATCCTGGATCCATTCCTATAAATCTTGATTTCATATATCTGAAATGGGCTGGAAATATTTAAATAATTCCTTAGGTGACGTCTGTGGTAAAGCTATGTTTGGAAACCACTATAGTACCTTGCCCAAGGACATATAGCTGGTTAGCAACAGTATGGAATTCAAGCTTAAACAGTTTTGACTCCAAAAGAATAAACTGTTTCCACTATTCCATGTATCATTTTTACATCAATTTAGAAAAACATTTTTACAAAATTTAACTTGTGTAAAAAAAACTATTTTGTTTACTACACCACAAACCACAAGGTAAATACTGCATTAATTTTTTAAAATTTGGCTTTAAAAAAAAAGGGCAAGATGCAGTTATAAGTTACCATTAGTACAGGAAAAAAATTTCAAATTCTGCATTCCTTAGAACAAACAAAACAATAAATTTGGGTTTTCTGTAGTTTGAATATACCTAGGCCATTGCATGCCCCCAACAAAGGGCTTTAATTGTAAAGCGTACCTTGTTTTCTGAATCATGTGTGTTGGTATGGGTCCTAATATTCGTTCCATCATTGCCAGGTGCTCTTTACTATCATGGGTCTAAAAAACGCAGGAAAAAGAAATTTAGCATTCTCCATTTCCCTACATGCACATTAAAAAAGAACACGAGGAAATGGTGCTGACATAAAAACAGAGAACTAGACAACTACACAATTTACATTACCCCACACTTCAAAGATGGAACAATACTGAATGAGCTGTGTTGTGTGCTGTAAACCAAATAATATTAAAATCTCTGAGACCAATCAGTAAGCTTCTGTATAGCGGCCAAAGCCTAGCTTGCTTAATATAAACTGAACCGCTTTCTTCTTTATTTGTATTTCTGTACTGTTTCACTTGAGGAACGACTAGGGAAGATTACCATAAAAACCATCTCCTCATTTAATCAGCTGCCTAACCGAGCGAGATAAGCCTCTATCATATAACACTCAGTATGCAAAATCTTTTTATTTACACATTTATATTAATAGCCATCTATTAACACTTATTAATCCTAGGCAATAAAAATTACTTCTCACAACCCTCAAAGATAGGTATGAAGGAGCATGAGTTTCAAAGAGGTTATGACAATACCTCAAAGTCACACACAGCTCATAATTGAGGAAAGTTGGAACATGAACCCAAGTCAAAGCTATATCCTTAAACTATACAGCACTAGAACTTGGCTAAAGTAGAATAAACTGTCAAATTTAAAGCTGAAATGTTATGCTTTCAGAGAAAGGGTTGGCAAACTTCTTCTGGGAAGGCCCAGGTAGTAAATATTTTTGGTCTGGCTGGCCACAAGTGGTCTCTGTCACATATTCTTTTTTAAAAACAGGTATCAGGCTGGATTTGGGTACAGACCACAGTGTGCAATCCCTTGCTCTGGAGAGCAGAAGCTACAGCTAATGCTTTTATAAATCTATCAACTACTATGCCTAGCACATTGCCTTCAAAATGTTAAGTCCTTAATTCATGACAGGAATAATACTAAGTTCCACATTTTAAGTTTCTTAGTTTATTTTAGGGGGTGGAATGAAAATATAAATCATAAATCAATGTTAACATTCTGTACTTCACATAAGATCTCAAATGAAGCATCCATTTTATGTAAGAGTCTGCATAAAGAAAGCATGTGTTCTGCTTATCTTTTTCTTGACCCTAATAGCTGACTACTACAAAACCAGACCACTTCCTAGAACTGATCGATAACCATGGTTCTACATATCAAACTTGCCTATAAACTCAGAGTAGTTTTAACGGGATCTCTATAGACTAGACAGAAATATAAGTCTGGTGAGATACCCCACAAGCAGTGAAGACACAATCCACAATAACCCCCGATGTTACTCTAAACTCAAAAGTTCATCCACCCTGCACTGCCGTAACTTCAAATCAACCTCTACAAGTACTGAGCCAGGACCTCCCCATTACCCCCACCAAAAAAAGAAAACTCCACACCTTGATCATAACTCTACTTAAAGTTCTTCAATGGCTGCATCACCTACAACTTTCGAGACTTTTAAATTTCAGATGGAAGTAAAATTTCAGGAAAGTGTAGACCAAAATAGAGTTTCCTACTTTTTCTTTTGCCAAATAAGGACTTTTATTAAAAAAATAAAACAAGGCAAAACAAAACTAAAAATCCCAACTACAACTATTACCATCATTTCATAAAGGGGACATTTTATCACTAAAAAAGCAGGAGGGCAATCTCAAAATAAAGGCCAGAATGGGAACCCTACAATTTCATTTTGGACCAGTTTACATGTGGAAACCAATGACTTACAGGATAAAACAGATATCTTTCTATGGTATACAAGTCCTTTACCAATCAGTCCTTGCCTACTGTCATCATTCTCCCGCTTATACAACACTCTGATGACAGTATTTATTCTTCCCTGACTAGAATATGTTCCTTTACTCCCTTACACATTTACAAATACTATTTCTTTTTCCTGGGATGGCCACTTTTGTGACAAACCACTTTTGTGACAAAATCCTACTCCTTCCTTCTAGCCTTGTCTTAAGCTCATTACCCTCTCCTCAACTTCTCTGAAACCCAAAACCAAACCCATTGCCACTGACTCAATTCCGACTCAGCGACAAAGCAGAACTGTCCCGTAGGGTTTCCTAGGCTGTACATCTTTATGGAAGCAGACTGCTACATCTTTCTCCCACTGAGTAGCTGGTGGGTTCAAACTACTGACCTTTCAGTTAGCAGCCAAGGGCTTAACCATGCACCACCAGGGCTCCTCAGTGATGCCTTCTCTAGGGAAATTTAATTGTTAACCTTTCCTGGGTTCCCACTACACTTTCAACACTGTTCCATTACAGCAAATACCACACTATACTGTAACAGTTTTCCGTGTCTCTCTTTTGGATGTTTTCGTTGAGGACAGAGATGTTATCCTTTCATCTTTATACACTTAGTCCCTAGGAATGTGCTTGAGGCATCAGAGGTGTTTAATATTTAGAACAAAATACAACTTGTTCTTTCTAAATTATTTTATAAAAAGGAGCGCCTGGTTCACGGCCATACGGATAATCAACATAATCAGAACTGAATTAAAACTGGTCCCATTAATGCTAATATAAATTTATGAAGCTCTGTAATTAAAAACAAAAAGGAAACACGAGACAATATGAACTCTGAGTCATGTCTTAAAAACTCCAATCACAAGCAAAATGAACTGTGACCACTAACCGCTGTATCTCATTTAACTGTGGCTTTAGAGAAGGATGACCATTTTGCATATGCCAGTTTTAATCTCAAGAATCCTGACACTATGGCAACTTTCCAATATGGAATCAAAAACTTTAACATGTCTTTAACATTTAAAATTCCTTAATAATTATTAAATGAAATTACTAGATACATACCTGAAAGACTGTGAAGCCAAGGTAATATTCAATAAGAATGCAACCTATGCTCCAAACATCACAAGGCTGAGCCCAACCTAAAGCTATTTAAAAACAAAAACATTTTATTATGCAATAATTTTTAATCACCAACACATAAAATCCTTCCCTATATGGGTGCTCCCTTTACACAGCCTACTGGGGAGAATGTAACAGTAAATTCAGGGTTTACCTTTTGTTTTATACCAGATGTTATTCAGTATGCTCTCATCATCTATGTCTGTGTCCTTACATCAACAAGTGGTATTTTAACCAGGGGAAGGGGGCATTATATGTAAAATAAAAGGGTAACTCAATTTTCCAAGTATAACTGACAAATTGTGTAAATCTTCCGAAGTCTCTGAACTACTTGTGAAATGGACAGCAATGCTGTTGAAACTGTTATCCCAACTCAAGGTTGCTTCCGGAAATTTTACATTTGTGCAAACATAATTATCTCAGAATGTAATTGCTAACCCTTTATCAATTATTGGAAACGCTGGTGGCATAGTGGTTAAGAGCTATAGCCGGCTGCTAACCAAAAGGTTGGCGGTTCGAATCCATCAGCTGCTCCTTGGAAACCCTATGGGGCAGTTCTACTCTGTCCTATAGGGTCACTATGAGTCAGAATCAACTCGATGGCAACAGGCTTTTTTTTTTAAAATCAGTTATCACCAAGTTGATGCCTGAATTTACCTCTTTCATTAAAAGAACATAAGTTATATAAGAATAACATGCAGTTTCACCTATAAGTAGAAATTACAAAGTCATTTAAGTTCACACTGAGAGGGATCTATAGATGTATTATACTTTCTCCTTTAGAATTCTCAATGGTAATGTTATTATACCTTAATTACACAAATCATAAGACATTTTAATCTTCTAAAGATGGAAGATTTAGTAATTATAAATATAACAATAATGTATACATAAAATCTACTTAAAAAGACATTTCAATTACCTTCAGTAACATTGGTGACTCTAAAGGTAAAGGAAAATATATTCAATGGCCTTGACAGTGATTTAGTTATTTTTGTTAATCCCCAACTACCTATCATTTGAACGAATGGATATAACGATGGAGCGTGATTTCCATTTATAGCAGTACATACAAAATCTGCCGATGCTAGGCAGACCTCAGATACAATTTTTCTTCTCCAGCTACTCCCATGTCCTAGTCTAGCATTTCCTCAGGTGACCATAACCTCCTGCAGCACATGTTCTCTGAGTAGTCAGTGCTCATTCTGCTCTTTCTCTGGAATTCTACATCATTCCCTTTTACCACCCTCTCCCAAGCCAATCTGTTTATTACCAACATACAACGTATTGTAGCAGCTAGCTACATCTTCCTCTCCAACCTAATCCTACCTTAGTCCTCAGGAACATTTCACAAATACACAAAGGACCCTTCTACACTCAGTTTCATGACTCCCTTTTTCTTAAGGCCAGTAACTCCAATTTCAAATTTACATCATCAATGCCCAGCCTGGCCATATTTGGAACTTATTAAATGGTTTGTACTCTATTACTAACCTAAAAGTTGGAGGTTCAAATCCACCCAGGAGTGTCACGGAAGCAAGGCCTGGCTGCCTGCTTCCATAAAGATTATAGCCAAGAAAATCCTATGGAGCACTTCTACTCTGTGTGACACATGGGGTTGCCAGGAGTTGGAACTGACTCGACAGCAATGGGTTTACCCACTCTAAGAAGCCATTAACTGTAAGATTCACCATTGTTTTATGTACCACTAACAAAGGAAAAAAAAAATTTGTCCCTATTTCAAAGATGTTAAAATGTAGTAGAAAATTCACATCTTAAAATTGACAAAGCACAGTTGTTTCTTTTCAAGCTCTGAAAATACCTCTGTCCACAAATCTTTGTCTATTCTCCTTTCTTTTGCCTTCACTGCAGCCTTTAAGTTCTCACCATGACCATCCTTTCTACACTATCACAACACAGCAGCTCCTTTCTGGCCTTACTACTGAGCAGAAACCCTATAATTCATTCAAGGACAAGCTCTAAAGCCAGGGCTTCGAACTGGTTCTTGTCAGTTCAGTCATGGTGAAGGAAGCAAAATTAAAACAGACTCGAATTTTTAAAATTTGGGTGTACTGGAACAACAACTGGAACGGGAAAAATTACAGGTTGAAGCCCCGCTAGAAACCTAATCTCCCTCTAGACAACAACGGGAGTGTATACACTGAAGAGCAACCAAATCTCTCGCCCATCACATTTTGTGCAATCAGAAACAGCAGTGTCCCACTCCAAGATGGCGGCCAACCATGCTGCTCTGAATGTGTGTCACTCTCCACAGTCCTACCAATCATCCAATCTCAAGTATCAGGCTCCAGAAAGCGTTCACTACACCTCTTCCGAGTCTCCCATTCCAGAGCTTTGACCCGTAACTGTTCCTGTCCCAGTTACTGTTCTGGATCATGCAAATTGTAATAATTTGGGTCTCTTTCAGTTTTGCTTCCTCGGCCATGACTGAACCGGTTCAAACCCATCTAAAGCGAGCTGTCCAGTGCAGTAGCTACTAATTAGATGTGGCTATTTAAATTAATTAAAATTGAAAATTCAGTGCCTCAGTTGTTCTAGCCATACTACAAGTACTCAAAGGCTCTATGTAGCAGAACAGTGCAGATATAGAATGTTTCCATCATTACAGAAGTTCTACTGGTCAGCGCTGCATAAGTCTCAATTTTGTTACCCATATGCAAATCCTCTACATAAACATTGTTAATTTGCCTTTCCCACTCCCATTCTGAACTACCAAATCCTGTTGAGGAAAAAAAAAAGGTATTAAGTGGAAACAACTGATTCCACAAAAACGTTTTACCTAACCTCAGTGAACCTTATTTTTGGCTAAGTAATATTTTTATTTAACTATCGGCCAATAACACCTGACCTGAAGTTTTCCACTATCTCTAAGCCACCAACCCCATCCTGACTTGGTGCCTAACTTTTTAATTTTGAGGCATAATATTTAGACTCTTATTTCCAACTCTGAACCTTCACTGATTTTCTTTTTCGGAGTCTCTCACGTCAGAGGTTACCAAGAAGCTCTCCTCCTAGACTAACTCCTCGTTGTTCTCCTGTTAACCAACATCTACCCTGCAGCTGACATCTCTAACAGTACCATACCTGTATGATGACACACAAAATAGGTACACAAATCACTTCAAAATCACACTGCTGTGATGTACTATCAGGTAAGATTAATCACCACCACCTGGAATATTTTTCACAGATGGTATCACATTTTTCCCACTCAGGAAAAATATTATTTACAGCAAATGACCATGCAGCCTTTATGAAAATAGAAAATGTTTTCTGTACACTGTTAAGAAAATCCCTATGCCTCTAGCCCCAATAAAAGGCGCACAAAACAAACATTTCTTCTTCAATTAACAGTATCAGGAAAGCTGGTTGTACTGACCCAAAATGACCTCTGGAGCTCTGTAATGTCGTGTAGACACCAAAGTGCTATGATGTTCATCGTCGTATGTTGCACTTCCAAAGTCAACAACTTTGATATCTGTGTTTTCAAGTGTGCGTTCATCACGTTTCTACAGATACAGTTAAGTAAACATGAAAATCAATGACATGGAATAAATTTCCTAGCACTATTCAAAAGATCTGCACTTCTTATCTTCCTGATTTTCACCATAGCCCCGTGAGAAAACGTTCTTTTTTGGTTTAAACATCAGTACATAACAAGCATCAGAGATGAAATCCTTCAAGGATCACCAACCTCAATTAATTTTAAAGACTGCCACCAAAATTAAAACAAATCTTTAACCTACCATTTTAGAATTATATTTGACTACATAGTCAGACTTCACAAATAAAATATTTTCGGGCTTCAGATCTGTATGAGTTAACTTATTACGATGCAAAACTACAAAAGAACAAAAAAGACATTATTAGTTTCACTTACAAATTAAATTTGTACTGAGGGAAAAGGGCTTAGGAGTAGATACAAAGAGGGGTTTCACCTTTACCTGTAATATGTGTACTTTCAGTGACAATGTGTTCATGTGTTGTTCATATAGTAAAAACTTTAATTTTCTGTTGTTTAAAGGTTTATCAATTATACTTACAATTTATTGACTGGCAGATCTGATATGCCATGTGCCTGATGTGGTCAATTTGAAATGGCAGAAAGCTGTTTTCTTTAATGAAATCATAGGTACTAAGTCCCAGCAGTTCAAACACAATACAAACATGACCATGATGATCAAACCATTCTAGCATCTGGACACATCGGCTAAAAATACATCAAAATAAAAACAATTCAGTTCACAGAATTCTGATTATTTTATGTAATTTAATGGCTCATGGTTCAAGTTTATACTTACAAGACACTATCGGGATCAGTACTATTTAAATGCTCCAATACTTGAATTTCGGAACGAGCTGCTTCACGGTATCGCCCCACGTTTTTTACAATTTTCACTGCTACATGCATGCCATCCCTTAAAAGAAAAATAAAGATGAAATTGGTAAACGTACAGGAGTGAACTGAAGCTGTGTTTCCTCTAAAGCACAATTCCATAATCTTATTAATTAACAATCACTCTATGCTATTTTTCTGAAATAATCTTTCAGGGCATAGTGTATTAAATCTCATAAAACAGTTTCTCCAAGCATTCTGACAAAATATACCTTACATGGAGTGATGATTTGCTTACTATTTAATGAATTTTAAGGTTTGTTTCCAGAATTTTAAGTTTACTCAGGTTTTATACTTAGCAAAAGTAAAAATAAAAAGATAAAAATGTAAACCAAGAATAGAGCATGCTACTACTGAAAGTTATTTGTTAATTTACCAGGCTAGATCTACTCTGTGCCAGACACTAGCCAGGTGTTACTGATGAGAAGACAAGAACTTGTCCCTGTGTGCCCCAGAGTGTAATGGAAAAAAGACGTGAATAAATTATCATAATGTCAGAAGTGCACAGTACAAGTTTATGGAGTGCCTAACCACCAAGGGACTAGGTGAGAACAGACTTCTTCAGAGAAAAGGTGACAAAGAACTGAGTCCTGAAAGATGGGTAAGTTGTTTGTCAAATGTGGGGGGGAAATGGGAAATTCTGGCAAAGGAAACACCATCTGTAAGTCATAGAGCCAAGAAAATGCTTAGTGCATTCACTGATCCAAGTAGACAGGAATAGTTACAGTGTACAAGAGTAGTCTTTAGGATGAGGAATCTGTAACAATACTTCCCAAGAAGTATACAACCATGAATGATTCTGAGGAAATCAATTTCCTTTTGTCCTCTTTTCTAAACCTGATCTGCCTAAAGACAAACCAACTATTTTCATTTGTGATGAAAATTTTAGATGCCAATTTAGAGACATGCTGTTTTAACAAAATTCTTTTCAGAGGTTCACTTACAGAAGTTTACAAACCGAGTATAGAGGTCCTGGAGGAAAATGGCAACATGAGGCACATAGGATGAAACCACAAAGTGCTTAGAACGCCTCATTAAAGAAATCTGACTTTATAACGTAGGCTTTAAGTAACATAATTTCATTTTAGTTTAGGAAACTAACTCTAAGATGCAAATATTATCCTTTTGGAATAAAGGTTTTTCAACCAATAAGATGAGACACACTTCATTGTCTCTGTGATCCCAAAATAGAGTAAAACCATTCTAAATCACTATAAGAGAGGATCAAGGGCCTAGATTCAACTCTTCACTTGAACACTTTCCTTAATTTCAATGAATCTCACCGATTAGAATTTGTCAGCATGCTTAATATCAAAATCCACACTCATTGTAAATGAATCACACAGTTTGAGAACTTTTGCTGAACATCTACCCCTTCCAAGTAATCACATGGCTACCATTTAAAATACAATTTCGTCTAAATTATAGATCCTTCCCCACCAAAACTATCAGAATGTTCAAAAAAGAAAAAAACAAAAAACTTACATGTCATGATCAATGCACTCTACAACTTTGCCAAAAGCCCCTTCACCCAAAGTATCCACGATTTCATCTAAAGGAAGGGAGGAAAAAGAGGTGTTAAGTATCTGAGCACAAATTATTAAGTTATTCAAACAATGAATGCTTAAATGTGGAATATTTTCAAACGATCTCTATCAAAGCATAATTAAGGTTTCAGCACTCAAATTATTTTCAGCTGCTACAAAAACAATTAGCTAGAGCTATCTTTCTTGCTCTAATCTCAAATTCCACTGATTATTTTGGAACTTTAGAGTAGAAATATTTAAATTCTACAGAAAAGAAGAAATACAACAGAACAAACAAACCCACAAAAAACAAAACAAAAAAGTAATGAAGAGTTCTTTAGCCCCCCGCTGACAAACTAGTCTTAAAAAAGATACTTCTGTCTGCAAAGTTTAAAAAGTGTTGAAAAATATTCTATACATCTTGCTCTTAGAACGTCTCCACTTTGACAGATCAGGTGACCCTCCTCATCATCCTCTATACTCCTGGGTCTTTTCCTTCGGTGGCTCTTCTGGAACGGCAAGTGGGCAGCACCAAGATCGTCCAGCCAATCAATATATCAGAGTGAATTCAGGGCAGAATACGCAATTCATTCAGCGGGGAGATATTCAGGCATTCAGATAAGCACCAGGCCACGAACAGTTGGCAGGAGCAATTTCAAATTCAGTCCCCAGAAATTCACAGGGCACAGTTTATGTTACAGAAGAAAAACATGGCAAGGAACAGATTTTCAGATAAGATACTTAAAGTGGCAATAGAAAAAAAACAACACAATTGTCTCTTTAAAATACTGATTTAATTGAAGTCTGAGATTTAAAGAATGCAATGTCATGATTTACTAATCTCTTGCTATAAATAGAATATGCTGTGAGTTGAGATGTCTAGTTTGTCCAAAAAATGTTTTAAAATGTCAAGATTAGTTGAAATTGGTCTTATTTAGCTATTTTAAAATATGCATGATTAACATAAATGGGCAAAATAAACGCTAATTTCAACGTTCTACTTAATGAAAACTAGTTCCACTGAAGAACACTGGGGACAAAAAATAATTCAAAGTTTACTGCTCAAACAGATGAAGATGTGTGAGTACAAAAAGAGGCGGGCTTTCTGGATACTCTAATTCCCATTCAGCACCCACTTTCAAAATTTCAACTGATCTAGTTGCAGACAATGATACACTGTGCTGTGGAACTATACTATATACAAGTTAACAACATTTAAGTATCCACCCGTGCAATTTTTCCATATTTGTTTGTAAGTATTAGAAAAGGGGTTTCTTTTAAAGTAAAAGAATATTTAATATGAAAGAAAAAGATGGGTGCTTCAATCTTTCCTAAGATTACATTACAAAACACAAAAATAATTTACTGTTAAAATCAAACTCATGATCTAGTCTGCAGAAAATGAGTAAATGTGGGCAAATGAGGGCTGACTAATAAACACAGCTTCGCTGTAAGAATCTGTAGGTTTCCTTTAAGGACTCAAATAATATAAACACGATTATAATATATCCAAATAGCACTGCATATATAAACTATTCCAACCTACTGGGTCACTAAGAGCTTTTACACACAAATAAGAATCCACCCAAAATAAAAACAAAATTAATCATACCGAACGTGAATGATGACTTGAGCAATGTCTATTATGCTTCCTTTTAAGACTGCTTTTCCTGCTTAGGCCTGAAGATTTACTGCAGTGGACTCGATAACCACTTTCAATGTCTCTGTGATAATGCCTAGGAACATATCCTTCACAGAAGTCATTTCTGTATTCATCAATGTACCTCCGGTCCCGATAATCTCTCTCATTCAAGGACCTTGCTTCTAAATAATGACTGCAAACACATTAAAAAATATCAAATTATTCTCTTCATTCTAAAACAGTGTGGTTCAAACAAAACATTCTCTCAAGAATTCTTGCTTTAAAAACTCAATTAAAAAAAATTGAAATTGATGAATTAGAATGTACACTTTTCTCACAAAACTAAGAAATCATTTTAACCAACAAGCAAATGGGTCCGTAATTCTCCATTATCTAGACTGCTGTCAAGCATTTCACACCAAGGAACAAAGCTTGAGTCAAATCATTCATTATGTCTAGTGTTTACTTAAGTGTTCCTTTACCTTCTGAGAAAAACAAGAAACTCACAAAATTTACTCTTCTGAAATTGATCAGTCTTATGATATATGCATCTGTAACTAAACTTTCTCTCCTCTCTCACAGAGCCACACACAATCGGAAGCAGGCAAAACAGGACTCCCTTCCCTGTTAAAGAGTATTTTAGATATCCCTGGCACGTAGAGAATGCTTTCATGAAAGGTTATTAAAGCTGGAATGACCCCTGACTGAATTCCAGTCATTTTAAAGATGACTGAATTAAGATCCCTACAAGCAAAATGATTTGCCATGGTTGTAGAGCACATAAGCGGCAAAAATTAAGATATTTTCTAACTATTATACAGACCAGTTTTATTACACACATCACTTATCCTGTCTCCACTCCACTTTGCATTTCTAGCCTCCTGTTATTCTTGGTTGAGAAACAGACAACACAGTTTTTGAGGATGTCCACATGTGCCAAGGACATCTAAAATACATCCCCCTCAAATGAGAAAGTGTTCCTGTATTGCTTGACTAGGATTATAACAGTATCGCTACCCTACTTCCCTTTACACTTCTGATTTCCTATTGTTCCTGCTAGAGAAATAAACAAGAGTTACACATGGAAGATAGCATAGTGTTATCTAGGGCCACAGTGCTTAACTTCTTCTGAATCTACAGATCCCTTTGAGAACCTGATGAAAGCAATGGACCCTCTCCAAGAAAAGCATAAATGCATAAACAAAACTTGGCAAAGAATTTGAGAGGTCAATGGATCCCAGTTAAGTAGCCTTTATCTGATGGAAAGAAAAGGACATAGATTCAATTGGCCCAATTTCCCGTCCCCCTCTCTACCTGGGATGAGTGTCCTCTTCAACAGAGTGCGAAGCTTCAAGAGGGATGCACATGGAGCACTGAGGGAGAAAGGGGACACCTGCCCAGTCAGACAATCAGCTAAAATAATCCTGACAAGCAACGGAGTGACAGATGTTGACTAGATTGCCCTCACCAACCCCGTTCCTTTCCCCAGCATATGTTGTCATTCTTTTTCCCGGGGGTTGGTTTACGGAGAAATAAAGGTAAGAAGCATCTCTAAAATTGCTACCCAACAGTTAGCATCAAATCCAGGCTGGGGAGATAGAGGAACTTTCTTCCCTTTCCCCAGTGTCAGCCTTAGTTCTAGTCATTGGAGAAACAACTTAGGATATCAGGGTAAGACTGGAGATCTAGGTCAGGGATCTGATCATCTGGCTTAGAGCTGTCAGGGAGAGATCTACATCATGCTAGAAATGATCGTAACTCTAAAAGGCATTCTGTGCAATTCTATAAGGTATCCTCCCCATAAAAGCCCAAAATCATCCTGTCAGAAAAAACTAATGCTAATCATGTTAAACTGGAATATTACATGAAATTAAAACTACTGATAATCCGTAGACAATCAACAGAAAAACAAAACATGGGGTGAAGGAACATCATGAGAATAAAAAGATGAGGAGCTCTTCCATCTTTAATGACCATGGCTTAGAGATGAGATAAACAAAATCTGGAGAATTACAAAGGCTATGGACACGGTAGATGGGATGAACAGATTGATTTCATTTTTTAAAATATTCACTCCATGTCCAGTAAATATTTCACTGTGGCCTTTCCAAATAGCCAAGATTCATAAAGGCACGGGCATTTGTGTTTATTTCCACACAGATTCTGTGGAAGATAAAAAATTACGTAAGGCAAAGTCCTGCCAACAAATAATAAGCAACATGAGATTACTTACATAAAAATAAAACAAAACCCAACAATGCAGGAAACACTGAAAGGTCGCATGACTATCTAGGGCCATTGAAGGGAACGAACTCAATCTGCTTGAAGTGTTAGGGAAGATGTTTATGGAAAGATGTAAACAGAATTGCATCTTAAAGGGAAACTAGGACTTGAACAAAGCGGAAAGTAGAAAAAATTTGAGGGGAGACAGCACAATTACCTTGTATTTAGGTGACACTTTTAGTCACAATGACTTGGAGGTAGGCTTGTCTATGCAATCCTCAGGAGATAGTGAGTAGAGAACTCCAGTAAAAGCAGTTTTCACATAGGGGAATACAGGCAAATAATAAACTAGGGCATATAATCAAAGGCCCTGCATGCCAGGCTAAGAAGTTTAAAACAATTGTTTCTCAAAGGGTGGTTTGCTTATCAACTATATCAGAATATGGGATTCTTATCAAAAATGAAGATTCCTCAGCCCTAGGTCAGATTCACAGAACCTAAATTTGGCAATCTGCATTTCAAACATACCTCTCCAAGGTGATTCTTTTCACACTAAAGTTTGAGAATTACTAGTTTAAGACTTGATGTTTTATGTTATAGGAAGACACTTAAGGCTTCTGGCCACAAAATGTAACGGTAGTGTTTGAAGAAGTGACTGATAAAGCCTGCAGGAAGGGACACCAATTCACACGCTACTGCCAAAAGACAAATCAAAAAGAAAAGACACTTTGTGATAAACATGACAAAGGGTTAAAATAATTAATAAAGAGCTGTTATAAATCAGTAAGAAAAAAACACTTTAATAGAAAAAACTGACTAACAATACAAAAAATATCCAAATCAATAAGCATATAAAAGTGGACAGTCCCTAGAATGTATAATTTCAAATTAAAACAAAACACTATTCTTGGCCTTTCAAAATAGCCAATATTGGTGAGAGCATGAAGGAGTATGTTGTAGGAGTAAATTGGTACAAACTTTCTAGGAAAAAAAAAAAAGTGAATATGTAGTAAGAATCTTCTAAGACTTTATACCCTTCAACTTGAAAATGTCCCTTCTTAGAATCTATTTTTCAGAAATAATTAGAGGCAAAAGTTTGTACACAAAGATATTTTTAAGAACAAATAATTAGAAACAATTTTACATCCAAATAATGGGTGACTAGTATCCTGTCAAGGTTATCTTATACTTTTCTTCATTTTTCATTTTTTCCCATTTTATGATAAAAAACATTCTTTGTAAAGTTTTTAAATCTTCAAAAAGACAATTAGAAGATTCTGTATTATGGAAAGCAATTATTATCCAACATCTCTGTGCCAGTGTCAAAGAAGAAGGTATTCGGCTGGGACTGATTCAGTATCATATTTATGTAATTAATTATGAACATGAATGAACTGTTCATCACTCAATGTATAATAAACATGTAAATAATTAGTACTGTGATATGAAGCCTTAAAGAGTATTTTGTATTTATTAATAATTGGATACAAATCTTTTCCTATAGTAGACTGATACTAGCTCTGATAATTAAAATCCTGTCATAAATCTCCCCTCCCCCATATAACAGTGTGATGAAGAAAATTAGTCTGTACTGATTACAAGCTCACTGTTCTGCAGAACAAGTCTGTTTAGCATGGAGAAGGAAAAAAATTACATACTGTTTTTTAAAGTAACCCCAGTTGGCTAATTTAGAAAGCAATGTGGCAAACAATCCCAATGGAACATCTGCACAAAACAAGGAGAAAACATAGAACCAACAAAACAAATGAGAAAGAGAAATTAAGAACAGAGTGAAAGAAACTCTACTCACCTAGCCTTTGTTTAATCATTTAGGAACTTTAAAATTTCTTTAATTTTGTTTAAATATGTTATCTCCAAATTTTACACTGGTAAGACTACAAGAAAACATGACAAATGCTATTGGAAATTTTTACCGAGACCCTTTCCTAAATTACTGGCTACCGCTTGTGCAAAGGAATGGTTCTTCTTACAACAAAGCTTCTAAAAATCCCAAACATATCCATTGCCTTTTTCTACAAATATAACCTGAAGCACATACTATGTGACTAATCCCTAACACACGTTAGCATTCCCCAGTAGAGCATGCTGTTTTTTCTTATTTGAAATAACTCCTCTCCCGAGTCATATCTCATTCATGAAACACGAAATAAGCAGCCAACATACGTGTTTCCCTTCTACATACCCAATGTAGAAGTTAAAGGTACCGACTGGGTGTCCTATCATCAGTATTGTCTTTTTGTGTGTCTCATCTCCCTTATGTTACCGGCAGCCTATTTGTAGGAGTATTTTTTGACAATTCCTCACAATACCTTGTATAAAACGAGAACTCAATGTTTTATATCCACTTGCTGATACTCTCTCCAACCAGTGCCAGATAGACATAGATATATGAGGATACAAATTTTGTTTTAATCACAGTGTAGCCTGAGCACCTATAAAGCATCCACCCTATAACAGGCACTCAGGATTTTTTTAATGAATAAAACATTTGTTGACTGAATCATAAAACAATTTGACAAATGAAAACTATATACGTAAATGATAAATCACTAAAAAACTACTGAAGTTAAAATGTTAATAGCTCAAGAGTAATTTACCAATCAGATTCTTTAAACTGAGGATGTGGTTTTTTACAATGCCTGTTCTCTTGTGTGCTACTGTGAGACCTCCTCTTCCGTTTGTGACTTCCACTGTAGCTTTCATGCCCCCAGCTTTCTCTGCTATCCCAATCAGGGCAGTGAGTGCGTTTGGAATGCCGCATCTGTTAACAGAAACAAAAAGGGAGTTGTGGAAGTTACAGTGTAGACGGCTATGTTTAACAAAGTATTACTCGTTAATATTATTTAAACATGAACATCTAGCACATAGGTTCTAAAATCTTTTTTTTTAATTGTGGTAAATGTAACAAAACATTTGCCAAGTCAACATTTTTCATATTTCATACAATTCAGTGGCATTAATTCATCATACTATGCAACCATCACCATTATCCACTTCCAAATTTTTCTACCACCCTTAACAGAAGATCAGTGTCCCCTGTCTAAAATCTTTTTAGGTAATGTTTCCCAAGTCATGGGACACTACCAAGATGGCTTAAGATCTACTAAATGATAGATACCAACACTGAGACCTTAATGCATTTTCTTTCAATCCTTCTAATTACACCCAGAACAAAGTCTCGGCTTGATCTTTATCTTCAACTAACACTTTGCTCATTGTCCTTTAAAAAACAAAAGGGCCAGGGCTTGGGCAAACAGCCTTCAGTAGACAACAGTATTTAGCTAGAAATGAATAATTTTGTTCTTCTTTTATTTTTATAGTTACCTTCTTCTTTATGGTAACTGATAACTGATTTCCTAATTAAGTTATTGATATGATTTCTTTAAAACTGTTAAGTTAAAATCTGAGTTGATTTAAGATAAATAATATGACAAGTGTCACCTAGCTTTGGCAAAAATACTATAGTACAAATAGCTGAAACCAGAGAAAACACTCAAGGATATTAAATGTGGGAAATTACTTTGTTTTAAAGCTATGAATAACACTTTCTCTCAAACTCTGTAGAGTTCCTTTCTATAAATCTCAGAATGACTCTAAGCTTTGAAAATAACAGGAGGTGAATAGAACAGCATTCAACAGAGAAACTGAAGGGCAATAAAAAGATTTAATGAACTCACTTTCTTTATCCAACCAGTTTATTTTCAGATCATCTTGCAGTTATTTCTAAATCTATTTGTTATACCTCTGGAGTGCTCTGTAAAAGAAACCAACTTAGGAGGCTGCACAGTTAAGTACAGTAACTGTGAAATCAGAAGGATGATGGTAACAATTCCGACTCCATCTACAACTTCAAATGCATAGGCTCATTCCAGGTTCAGTATCTGCTCAATGTCATCGCTATCTGCTTCTCCCCATCTTAATTCTTTTCCAACACAGTTAAATTATTAACAGTGATGTCTAAACTCTCTACTAAACAAACAGGGTGAATTTAAAAGGGAAGAATTTCACAATTTCAGCAAGGGAACTGCAAAAGGCTAAAATGGACCAAAACCAATTTAGTTAATCTCATTCAGCTTGCCCAAGTAACTTAATAACAAGCAAACAAATGTAAGTGAAAATCTCAATGATTTCAAGTGGATTAAAACAAGACTTTGAAATGAGGCAAGTTCAATTCTCCTGGGAGGTATTCCCTAAAAAACTGTCCCACACCATGCCATCGGAGCCTGATGCTGCCAAATATTCAGATCTCTTTAACTCTCTTCTCTTGCGGATTCTAATTCTTCACCCATAAAGTATTCTTCTGATAATGTGGCTTCTCTTTTAGCTTGTTTAAGAAAGGAGAAGGCACTGATCAAGTCAAACAAATAAGAATCCTAAAACCAGGGCTTCCAACGAGTTATTTTCTTCGGTTCGACCCCCTGCTGAGAATTTGCTTTTCCACTCCAGATATACTGAATCAGAACCTACAGTTTAACAAGACCCCCAGGTGGTTCTGGGGTGGAAATGCAAATTCTCAGCAGGGGGTCAAACTGAAAATAACAGGTTTGAAGCCTGCTTGTTAGGCTTCTCACTGGAAATTAGTAAGTGGTTTGACTTATGTATGCAGTACGTTGTTATTGTTAGGTGCCACTGAGTTGACTCCGACTCACAGTGACCCCATGTGACAGCAAAACTGCCCCACAGGGTTTTCCAGGCTATAATCTCTACAGAACAGATTACTAGGTCTTTCTATCCTAAAGTGGCTAGTGGGTTTCAACCGCTGACCTTTCAGTTAGCAGCCAAGCACTTAACCACTGCGCCACGAGGGCTCCTGGTATGGGATATAAATTTAGGAAACCGAAATGAAGGGCACTACAAATTTACCTGAGGCAAAAAGCCAAAAAATAAACTTTCTTCAGAGGAGCCACAAAAAGCATTTCTATTTCTAGTGGAATTCTTCTGACTCCTTCCTTGAATTGCCAAAATTGTATTTAAACCACATCAGGAACTCTTTAAAATAGCTTCTCAGCCTTCTTAAACAAGTAATAGCACGCAAAATCACGACATCTGATGATTGAGGGTTATTATGACCGCCATCCATTATTGTGCAGTTTTTGCGAAACGTGTTTGCATTAGTTTTTTTCCCCCTACTGTCAGTTGCCCACAACAAGCTCACTTCTAACAAGGCAGAATCCTCAAATAAAGTTATTACAGTAAAATCTGCAAAACCCGGAACCTGTGTAAGGTGGAAACCTGTTAGAGAAGGAAAACTAAAATATTTTCCAATAACAGAGAGCAACAGAAAAGCGGTTTAAGACTGCACCCTGTCAAACGTGGAAAACTTGTGAGACCTGGAAAAACAAGGCAGTTCCTTCCAGTTCTGGCTCTCACAGGTTTCACTGTAACATGCAAATACTAAAACGCGTTCTTCGTGAGAGCCCAAGATTTGTATTTCTCTAATCAAGTTCACTACTTTAAATTTAATTCAGTCACTGTTAGAAGTTTTTCTCCCCCTAATGCTCAGAAATATACTCTCAGAAGGCAAAGATGCCTGAACCCACCTTCACATACACAAAAAAACTACCTAGAATTATTAAACTACCTCTAATTAATAAAGAATTCTACATGCTAGAATCGTCAGATATTTTTCAATAAATAAAAAACAGACACACGGAATCCGTATGCATGTATTACAAATCTGATTTTCCTGTCCTTTTTAAAATCTTACGATACCTGACAACTCAATACTACGTACACGGCTTAAAAACATCAAAACAGACGTCACGACTAGCTGGGTCACCATTTAATGAGTAACAAAAAGCCTGTGGGTGGCACAATCACAGAGAAGGTACAAAGGGTGGCGAGGTGGTTGGCCCGATCAGTTTGGAGGATTGTTTCCTAAGGATCGGATAAGCAAAGCCAGGCTACCTGAGTAATCACGGATAATATGATGCACAACTATCAGAAATACAGACTCGCTGCAACTATGGTGTGCTCCACCTTAGGAAGAAAGCACACTGCACAAAGGACGAATCTTCCCATATTTCAATCTTTCAAGCTTGAGCTAAATTCCACCACCTGGACTCGCAGGCGCAGCCCTGGCTGGCTGCGCCGTGGTTAAAGTGCTCGGCTGAGAACCAAAAGGTCAGCGGTTCGAACCCACCAGCCTTGCTCCGCAGGCGAAAGACGTGACAGTCAGCTTCCCTAAAGATTACAGCCTTGGAAATCCTATAGGGGCAGTTCTACTCTGTCCTATAAGGTCGCTGTGAGTCAGAATCGACTCGATGACAACGAGTTTTTTGGACTCGCAGCTCCTCCGACGCCCAGGCCCCATGGCCGCCCAGCTCCCCGCCTCGGGCCCCTGACCAGGGCCTCTGGCTCATTCACAGATCTCGGCAAATATTTGATTCTGGAAAACCCCCAAACGCGAGAAACGGCAGAGGCCCGAAATCCAGGGGAGGACTGGATCTCCCATAACACAAACAACAGGCACGGCTCTCGAACGGTCTCCCGGACTGCTGGTGCCCACACCCGCCAGGCCCTCGCTCTCGTGGGCGTAGGCAGCCCTGACAGGGATCACCTAAGCCCCAGCCCATTCGCCACATCGGGACCAGCCCGGCGCCTCGGGAGCCCCGATGCGCGAGGTAGCGGCTCTCAGACAAGGGTCAGCGCAGAACCGCGGGCCTTTCAGCCCCAGGACTCTAGATCTACCACGACGTCTGGGCAACTTTAGGGTTTTTAAGGCCACCAGCTGAGCAGTACCCCTTAGGAACCTCCAACTCATCAACAGGCGCCGAGGCCCCGAATCCAGTCGTTTCTCCGACATCTGGCTTCGAGACTTAAAGTCTCCCAGCCAAGCACACTCCACCCGATACCTTACCTCTGCAGAAGCAAAAGGCCCTTTGGGCGAGAAGAGTCGTCAAACCGTCGTCTTCCCCCTCCAACCACTGCGACAAACACTCCACAAAATGGCGGCACCGCCGTCTCTCCACAACCCCCAAGGCGGCCCCTAGCACCACCTACTACGAGCGAACGCGCCTGCGTGACAGAGCCTCCGCTTCCCGCACGGGCGGGGCTCTGTATGAGGTCAGGGACGAGACTTGGCCCTCCTCGCTGCGGCTGCGCGACCCAGCCTGCCCCGCCCTAGCCCTGGTGAGGTACTGGTGACAGTTACTGTATTTGTCGTTCTCAGGGTGAAACTGCCATGAAACTCTAGTGCCGTCCCCTCGACCTGTGGCGGGTGTCTGCTCCTTAAGGTGGTGCTAGTAGTGCTGCACTCCTCGGCAGAGCCGGCCTATGGCCGGTGCCCTGCTCTTCCCCTCAAGTGTGCCAAGCCCTCCCCATCCCCCAGGACCTCAACTCCAGAGGGAGCCAACATAAAACAGATGAACCCCCAAAGCCCACCCTGTGCCAGGCTCCGGGGTGGTGCTGGGTATAGGTCCTGCCAACTGGAACTATCCCGTCTAAAATGGATTCGGAAAAATGATGTCTCAGAAAACAAGTTCAGGAGTGCGTATCTTTTAAAGGCACACGCTCCTAATCAGAAGAAATAAAATGGGAAGTTTCTTCCTACAAAGTTCTTCCTGCTACGGTTCCTGCCTCCGGGGCAGATATGGTATAGCTGGAAGTTTCCCTAACGAAGTTATTTGTCCCTGAGGGTTGATTTTAAAATTCAGCCAAGGCAGGATAATGTCTGCAAGACAGTGAGCGTCCATTAAAGGGGCTTGCTTACCTCAAACTAGGTATGTTGCCGTTCTAAGAATCCCCAAACAATCCTCCAATGTAAGGTGAGAAGAGAGCCAAAGACTGGGGAACACTTTAAGTGACAGAAGAAAGAAGCCTGAGTAGGAGAACTAAGAGTTTGATGTTAGGGAAAGCAAGGGAAGAAAAGAGTTTCTATGAGGGAAAGCCTGACTGTCAAATGTTACAAAGGGGTCAGGTATTCAGGTATGGTACTGGAAAGTGTCAGGGAGATTCTGTATTCTTACAAGGATTCTCTGGATAAAAGGCAAAGGCAGAAATTAAATTTGGAAGAGCAGGGTCACATTGTTGTGGTCATTATTCCGATAGCATGTGGGATACCTGAATTCTTGTACCTTGTTAGATGAATAGAGGGTACTGTAATACCTTTAGTGATCTAACATCATAGATGTGACACTTGTGATACAAGAAACTTGTGCCACCTACTTTGGTTAAATTGAATTCTCATTGAGATTGTACTTTACTTCAAGAAGGTAACTGAAAAGACATTTGGAAGTGAAAATTCTTTACACTACAGAATGAAACTGAGACCACAGTATTCTCCTCTCCTCTATTTCCACATCCATAGATTTACATCTTACCCATCCTTTAATGTTCAACTCCTTAAAGATGCTGTCCCTGACCACATCAGTTTCCACCCACCTCCTGCTTTTGGCTACTCCAGTTAGAGTGGAGGTCTTCAAATAACGGGTAAAGTCATGCCGGTGTGTCTAGAGCCAATCAAGTATACCAACCAATTTTGCCCAAATAGTGAAATTTATTGGTTCTACAAGTGATCACAGGTACTATTTCAGGGACATCTATCAGATAGAATGTTGAGCTGAGAGGGTTGGGCAATCTAGTAAGGTAAAGTGGGGTTTAACTTGCTGCATATAAGCATAAGTTCAAGTTGGCACCCAAGAAAAGTTCCTGGTTTGCTGGAGTATGAGAGATATTTGTCTCATGAGGATATAAGAGAGTGTGATCAGGACAGTACACAGTTCTGCTCGAATAGCAACACAGGGTTAAAAGGCAGCCATGTGGAGAGCCATCCGCAGAGGTTCTTATAGATATTACAAGATACTGTTACCCAATAGTGGAGTCTGCTTTGTAATTACTGCTATCTTGTTTTAGTGTTGTTTTGAGTATTTTAAGTGTGCCACCAAAAGGTCTAACATTTGGAGGGGTGCAGTGATCAGAAAGAGGTTGAGAAACACCAGATGTCTCTATGACACATTACACAGCACTATGATGCTCCTAATTGTACTGTGTGGCTTAGTGCTTCAGCTGGAAGCAAGGGCCCTGTTTTATATTTTACTTGGTTGTCTTCTCTTAGTGCCCAGAACTGACTAAACATTTGTAAGTTGTTTACATAAGCTACTTTCGGCCATTTTGTTCAGTTGGTTTAAATTCCAACCTGATTAAGTCAGAGGTAGAGATTTGCTTCCAGGATCCCTGCACCAGTTAGCTTAATACTCTTACATGGCAGCCTCAACCTTTTCTATTAAGTCAGTTATCTGAAAATGAACACCTTTGTTCTAAAGACTTAACAAAAAAGGTCTACATTTCTGAGAGTTCATTACCAGTACTAAAAAAACTTCCTAATCCAGTAGCTTCATCTCTACACAAAAACTAGTATGTTCAAGAAAATCTTAAGTTAAACCATGTGTTAAAAACAACTGTTTGAAGAAAATCTTAGCTTTGAAGAGCAACCAGAGGAATATTCTTGTCATATATTCTAACATACATATTCTATATGCTTAACTGCAGGTACAGAAAACACTCATCTACAAATGAGTTTCAGAGTAAAAGTCTAAACTCTTCTGTAAATTGTTTAGCAAAAGCTTATCTTTATAGAGAAAACTTTACAAAATTGTTTTCATACCTGTGTTATAATTGCTTATTACTGATAATTATTCATCTGAATTCACTTACTTTTTTTTGATTATCAGTTAAGTACTCATTATGTGTTAACCATTTTATGTAGACGATCTCATTAAATAATTTAAACAATGCTATAAGGCGATCATTGGTTATTTGCCCTAGATCACATGGTTATCAAGTGCCAGACTAGGCTTTAAATCCAGGTCTTGCTTGCTCCAGAGCTCTTGCATTTAACGCCACTCTACTGAACTGCTACAACTCATACAATAAAACACATAGCAACTTACTTTACTTAATCATTAGGGGAAACCATGCTGAATCCATCTTTCAGCAAGACCAAAAGAGTTTGTTTTAAATAACCACTTTCCAGGGTTATTTGAAGGCTCCTCATGATGAAACAATGGGCCAGTTTACCTCCAATACGTCAAGGCCATCAAAGGTCCCAGTGTCCCTAATTTGCTATTGAGTCACAAAGGGTCTCCTGTGTGTCCTACACTGCCCAAGATGGATAACATCCCAGGTTTGTCAGCTGTTTCCTGATAGTGGTGGTGAGGAGATTCACGGAGCACAATATTAAGCACAATTCAGTCCCACCCAACAATACCAGGAGCATTCTCTTACACACAGCACACTTTGCAATGTGTGTGGAGTGTATATGGAGAAGTATGGGAAGTGATTTAATTCAGAGGTGCAGTAGGAAATTCAATCAGCTGGTCTTTCCAATCTCCTTGTCAATTTTCAGTACCACCAGTGAAGGGGGCTCAGAGCCAGAGTCACAGAATCACAGTTGAACATACGTTTTGAATACACCTGTGACACAGGGACTGTGATAGCTGTGATTTATAAGACAACACCATCTATGCAGATATAACACAATACCATCTATGCATTTAAACCAGAACTGTTGCTGTTGCTGTTGTTAGCTTCAATCCAGTTGGCCCCTACTAATGGCAACCTCGTGCACAACAAAACGAAATGCTGCCTGGTCCTGCGCCGTCCCACTAGATTGCACTGATTGACGGGCTTTACTTCCTAGTCTGTCTCGGTCTGGAAGCTCCACTGAAACCTGTTCAGCTTCACAGCAACACACAAGCCCCCAGTGACAGGTGGATGGTGGCTACACATGAGGGGCTTTGGCCAGGAATTGAACCTGGTTCTCCCACATGGAAGGTGAGAGCTCTACCACTGTCAAGTATACAAGTATATATATATATATAGAGAGAGAGAGAGAGAGGGTCATAGATTGGAAAGACAGATATTAAATACACTAGAGATGTGCTTCTTTCTCAAGGTCTTGAATTTTGGAATAGGAAACCATCAAGGCTAAGACTTCAGTTTCCTTTGTAGCTTTGCTACCCTTGCAATTAAATCCTGGACCTGATTTTCAATACAATCTGCCCTACGGCTACAGAAGATAAAGGTGTCTAAATGTAATGAGAGTCGCTGGGTGGTGCAAAGGTTGGAGGTTCAAGTTCACCCAGAGGCATCTCGGAAGAAAAGCCCTGGTGATCTATTTCTGAAAAATCTGACAGTTCTACTCTGACACAGATGGGGTTGCCATGAGTCGAAATTGACTTGACGGCAACTAGGAAAAAAAAAACGTAATGGAGGCTTCCTGACTCTACAGTGTGCTTTAAGTGGATGGTTGGCTGGCTTGAGCTTGTCATTTTCCTTTTTCTAGGCTTTTAAAACAACTAAAGGCAAACAACTCCACAATTAAAGTTACTACTGCCTTTATACTATTCAAGTGCCTCCAGCTAATGCATAAGCCAAAGTTTCATCTTCACTGAACCTTATTCCAATTCACTACAGAGTTTCTTCTGGATCCAAGGACTGTATTCTTCCTTCTGTTTCACCACTTTATCTCCCTTAGAAGCGGTGATAATGGGCATCTCCGCCTTATTCCTGTTTACAATGTTTTAGTTAAGTCATGTTGTAACTTTTTTTTCTTCTTAATATATTGTGGAAAATTTCCATACCAATAAATATTTGTATATGTCATCATTTTTTTAAACAATTACCTTGTTGATGGAATTTAGTTTGCTACCAGATTTTCTTTTGTCTATGGAATGTGCTTTTAGAAATAGGAAATATGTACAGTTCAAAATGTATTTTTTTTAATTTCTAAAGGTACAAAATGGTTTACAGTGAAAAGAATCTCTCATTCCTGCTCCTACCTAGCTCATTTCCTTCCTTAGCACTCAGCTGCTAACTGAAAGGTTGACAGTTCAAACCCACCCAGTCTCTCCA